TGGCTCAGCAGGCTCAGAGCCCAGCACCAGGCCTGGCATAGACAGATGCTTGGTGAGTTGGAAAGATGGGGCAGGAGAGGGAAGACAGACTACACCCCCAAGACACCTGGGGGTCTTTGAAAAACAAATATTGGATTATGCCATTTCCTTACATAAGCACATAAGCAAAACCCAAACTCCTAAGAGGAAAAAAGGAAAAAGAGAGCTAGGGGTAGAATCATGATGGGGTGCTATAATTTTTTAGCTTAAAGAAATAATAGACATGAAGGGTGGGAGGGAGGCTTTCACTATACACTCCAGGTACCTCTTGATTCTGAAATATATATATATATATATATATATATATATATATATATATATATATATATACACATAAATACAATACTTTATCCTTAACTCAGTGAGACTTTATCAGGGTCTCACTGAGTTGCTTAGGGCCTCGCTTTTTGCTGAAGCTGACTTTGAACTCGATATCCTCCTGCTGCTCAGCCTCCCCAGCTGCTGGGATTACAGGTGTGTGCCACTGCACCTGGCAGGAAACTGTATTTTTAAGTGATAATCGTACATAGTATAGTAGCTCCCCTTAATTGTGGTTTTGCTTGCTGTGGTTTTAGTTACACAKAAGTCCAGAAATAAACAATTCATAAGTGTTAATAGCTTTCATTAGAGTATATTGTTATAATTATTCTATCATTAGTTAATCACTTACTGTGCCTAATTTGTAATTAAACTCTATCATAAGTATGTATGTATAGGGAGAAACACTGTATGTATAGCGCTCAGCACTGCCTACAGTTTCAGGCATCCATTGGGGGTCTTGGGATGTACTCCCTGAGGATAAAGAATGTGCACAGAATTTGGCATTCAAAGTGCCCTCTCCTCTGCTGACCTCCCCCGCCACAAACTGCTTTTACCTTTCTAAGCTTCTGCCTGGCAGAAACCTCAGAATGTGGTTCTTTGTGCACTCACCTTGTCTTCTCTCTCAGCTTTTTGAGAATGAGATCCAAGCCTTTATCCAGCCCAAAGTTGCAAATGAAAGTGTGTATCAGAGAAACCAAAGCATTTAGTTCAAACTTTACTTTCTTTGGTTTAGGGGCCAATTTTCTCTTCTAGTTCCTACTCATCCCCACCCCCAGCTCCCGCAATGCTCAGTCAAGCCACAACTAAGTCTAGGGAGGGGCTGTTTTATTTTAAAATATGTACATAAATTACTTGTGGTAGCTTTCTATGCCTTTCCCAGGACCTCTGGTGAGCCCTTTCCTCTGTGAATGCTAAAGTGAAAGGAACGCCAAAAGCAGCACAAGTGGTTCAGATAAACATCCCAGTAGGTTTTCCACATTACATAAATTATCAAGTGTGATGCGAAGGGCCCAACTGGATAGAGCAGTGGCTCTATGCTTCCCCCTGGTGGTGAGATGTTCCACCACATCTCCACCCCACCCCTGCACGCAGCCAGTGCTTAGTCACCCAGGCTTTGCAGGGGCTTCTTTGCTGTCCCCAGAAGCACCAAGACTAGTACACCTAAAAATATTTGCTGGTGTAAGTGGCAGAAACCAAAACCACATAGTTCAAATTTTCCTTTCTTCTGCCCAGCTGAAGATCACTGGTTTGTCCAATTGTGTAACTTCCCGATTCTTTATAACAGTTTTTGAGCCTAATCATCTGCACAGCTCAATCCAAAGGCAAATGTGGAAGACCTCCCATGCTCAGAGTATAATCCTAAATCCTCACTGATAAAACTCCCAGGCTTTTAGAAAGGCCATTGCATCTACCAACAGACACATTCATCCCTACCCCGAAGTGGACCCTCAGAATGGGTTAGGGCTCCTGGACTGTGGCCCAGAGTTATAGTTCAAATGACTGAGCCTGAAGGACAGAGAGGGCTAAGAGAGGACTGAGTGATGGTCCACCAGACTGGAAGACAATCACACAGAGCTTCTGGTGCTCCAAGCCCACTTGGAGCAAGAAATAACCCTGCATGGCAAAAGTTCTTTCAGTAAAGAATTCTCTGAGAAGTGGACCAATCTTGAAACTGGATTCTTTAGGGGTCACTAGAAACACATCATCTTTAATCAGAAACACATCATCTTTAATCCCCAAGATGGGGAGAGGCAGGGACACACTGGATATCATTTTGGAGTCCCCTCCAGAGGCTCCTTTAATAGTCCCTATGAAAAGACAAGATGGGATACTGTAAGCCAAAGCCAAAGCCAATTTACTTGTGAGACTTGGATAGAAATGACCTCACTGGCGCCTACAGGTATTACAGGAACAGAACACACATTCTTTCCCTGATGACAGAGCAGCCTTTAATGGAACTTCTCCCAGGGATAATGGTCAGGCCCTGAGTGGAAAGTCTGAGATCAACAGGCCCAAATTCAGAAAATCAAGACGATTCCTAAAGCTTAATGGTCTGATAAGAACAGCAAATATGTACTGTCCTTTCTCCTCCCTGCTGGGCACAGAGCTGCCTCATACTCCATTCTGCCATGTCACATGGAACCTCTGAGTGGTGATGAGTTGTTCACGGAGAATTCCACCTAAGACAGGTTTAGGGCAATCTAGGCTCTACCTCATTAGAAGCAGCCACATATTCAAAGAATGCTGCTGAGGCTCCTCATAAATCGCACTGAAGAGAAGTCTCTACCTTACTGAGATTATTATAGGGATCCAAACCTCCTTAATTCAGAATCACAGGCATTGTGTTTTAGGGGAAAAGCTGAATTATATGTTTAAAAATAGAAACTAGTTATCTCCTATGACAATTCTATTACCCTGGGCATTGCAATAAAACTTTAATTAGGGAGATTTCTCCCTTGCAATGGGCTTTTTAGAAACAGAGGCCCAGCTACTCAGAAGGCTAAAACAGGAGGATTATATCAAAATAAAAAATAAGATGGGCATGGTGACACATGCCTATAATCCCAGCTACTCGGAGACTGAGGTAGGAGGATCCCAAGTTCAAAGCCGGCCTCAGCAATTCAGCAAGTCCCTAGGCAAATTAGTGAGACCCTGTCTCAAAAAAAACAAAAACAGGGGCTGGGGTTGTAGCTCAGTGGTAGTGCCTAGCATACACAAGGTGCTGGGTTCGATCCTCAGCACCATATAAATGTAAAATAAAGATATTGTGTCCACCTAAAACTTAAGAATAAATATTWAAAAAAAAAAGAAACAAAAGGCTGGGGATGTAACTCAGTAGTTAAGTGGCCCTAGGTTCATCCCTGATACCAAAAATAAAAAATAAAATAAAAAATAAAGGGCTGAGGGGTGACTTTGATAGAGTACTTAACTAGCATGCACAAAGCTTTAGGTTAAATCCCCAGTACCAACAACACAAGAAAGAAGGGGAGGGGGGTAGRTGAAGTAAAGTATCTGGGAAATTCAGAAAGCCTTATGAAATAAATCAGAAAACAAAATCATAATATGATAAAAACTTTCACGTTGCATAGGGATTAATCTGTTTCCCAATCTTTCCACATGCCCAGTTTAGACAGAAGTCCTAGGAGAAAAGATTTCTCTGTCAGCTAGGAGG